AAAACTTCCCTGGACACCTCACCGTCCTCGATGTCGAGTCTGATCAGAATGTCCATGCTAGGGCCGACGATGACCAGGACTTCATCAATGTCACTGTGTTCACCCTTCTCATCGATCAGAATAGCCATTGCTTTCCCTCGGCTCGACGCTAACCTGCATGAATAAGACCATTGTTCATCTTTCCTTATCTGATCAGTGGGCTTACCAACTTTACCATGACCTTTGGAGATTGTTTGGGACTTCCGGCTGCACTTCACGAAGTCCTTCTTTACGTAAGTTTGAACGTGAGTCTTAGACTCATCAAATCTGACCTTCTTCTTGACCACGTTCGATGCAACCTTATGGAACGTCTCTTCATCATCACTCCAATCATGGATAAGTGCAGGAGTAGCCTTTGAGCCTGATGCTTCGGTGTTCGGAGCAGTATTGAATAGATGAGGATCGTGGCGCTTGTTGCATTTGTCTCCATATCGACACTTGCCCTTAGCCCAATGCCAGCATGGTTCGTCAACCTTCTTGGTCTTGTTTGCCGGAGATTGACTTCTTGGAGTTCCTGGCTTCCGACCATTCCCTTTTGCGTTCTTGTTCGCATCGAACACCTTTTGATCATGACTATATTCACAATCTTTGCCTTTCCTGCATGATTTCTTGATGAAATGGAAATGGCATGGAATCTTCTTCTTGGATCTAGGGCTGGTACTTCGGCTGTTTGCTCGATCCTTTCCTTTCCCTTGACCTTTCCCTTTTCCTTTTGCATGCTGTTTAGGCTGAGGTGATGGTAGAACTGGAGCTGCATCGGCCTTGGCCTTTGCCTTGGGTGCTGCCTTCTCCTTGGGAGTAGCTTTAGGCTTCGCTTTTGGATTTGCATCCGGTGCCGCAGCAGTTGGATTTGGGGCAGGAGCTGTAGGTTTGCCGCCACCTGCAAAGTCTCTTGCGTACTTCTCTCTAGCGGCCACATGCTTGTCCTCTCTGATTCTGGAGATGTGTCTTTCGATGACGTCTAATAGATAGCGATAGTTTCGTCTTTGATCTCCTTCAATCCATGACTCGTACTGCTTGATGTCAAACATTATAAGACTCGAATTTCGAATCTTCTTGTATAGAGCATCACGAAGCCAATCATCAGGAGGTACATCATCCGGCATCATGTTTGATACCATCTCCATCCATTTCTCGTAGAACACTTCCAGGTTTGAGTCACCGAGATATTTCATCGATACGATGTGCTCCATGGTGAAGGCTGTCTCTCGTTGACCTGGAGTTCTGAAGTGCTCCAGGATCATAGCCAAGATTTCCCGTCCCATGACATAGGATCCTCTTCGACTATGACTTTGTGTTCTCAATCTCAATTTGATCGCTACATGACGAGCAACATCGCCGGCTTGGGCTATCACATTTGACAATGCAATTGACAACTTGGCGTCGATTGACTGATAGCGTTGCCCTCCACTGTCATTTAATAGCTCGATGTCAGGATTTGGTCGAATAGCCGGCTGTAGCCATGCTTCCCATGCGGCTTTGTCTCCATCATTTGCAGAAAGAACAACGCTCTTGATGAGATCTGATTGCCAAACCCCAAGATTCTGTTGCTTCGGCCATGGGCTAACATAGACCTTGTCAGCCTCCCGTCTTGACATTCTCGGCACTTCTTCTGCAGTGTAAGCCGCTGTGGAGACATCATCTGCTGAATCGCGTTGTGACCCTCGAACTGAAGGCAAGCCTGGAGGTTCAGGAGGTGGTCCTGGACCGTTAGGCCCGAAAGGGTCAGGAGGTCCATCAGGGTCAGGCGGACCGCCCCATCCACTCGGTGGCTTGTAGTAGTCCCTCTCAGTTCCATCAGCGATCTTGTTGTCCACCTCTTTCAGCAGATCAGTGATTCTTTTGCTTGATTGAGAAGGTTGTCGTTGAGGAGGTACAGCATGTTCACGATAGGAATGAGCCACATTTGTCTCATAGTTCAACTCCTTGTCGATCTGCGAAACCCAAGACTTCAGAATAGCGTTTTCACAGTTAGCCTCACTCACGTCATTCTCCAGTTTGTCGATGACTAGTCTTGATGCGAGATCGTAGTTGGGAATGCCTGCCGAATAGGGAAGAGTGTCAGGGCTGACCCTAGATATAGATGTTTCAGAATCCTTGAGACTCTTTCTCAGTTCATCTAAGTGACGTTTCATGTCAACAATCTCAGAATTCTTGATACCGATCTTTTCATCCCTATCCTGGATTTCCCCCATGAACATACATGATCTCTCATACTGTTGAACACCACTAGCCAACTTCATTTTGCGCTCACTCTCTAGTTCAGATTTTAGAGTTCGGACCTCAGCATTGGTGAGGGACGACGCCCCTACATCCGCAACTTCAGCCAATCTCTCTTTTAACAATATGTTCTCCTGTAAACATTCATGAACTTCATGATCTAGGTCCTGAACCCTGATTTGAGCGATTTTGGCTTGATTACGTAGATCTTCAACAAGCATCTCATCGGGGCCACGACCGTCGGTCGTAGTACCCTGAGTCAGCGATCTTCGTAACTTCGTGTTCTGCAACTTGATCTCATCCTTTAATTCGCAGTTCATTTCCTGCTCGTTAGCATAGAGCTCTTCATAGTGCTCTGCCCTTGCGATCGAGTTTGCACTAGCCTGTGATTCAAGCCTCAGGTGTGATATTGCTTCGGCCTCTTGGTTCCTGTATGATGCAATTCTTCTGACGGTATCATGTTCAGTGTTTCGATGCTTCAGATCACTTTCCAATTTGGCCTGATTTGCCTCGAAAACCTTCTTCCTAGATTCTCTAGTGATCTCGTCGATACTGCTTTCATACAGCTCGGCCTGTTTACGAGACTGAACCAAAGCTTCACTCAATAGTTGATTCCGTTCAGATAATTCATGAACTGCAATTGATTGTTGTTGGCTAATCACTTCGAGTTGGTTGCTAGAGAAGGATGCTATTTCGGATCGATTACGATATTCCATGATTGAGTTCTGGAAATCTGTCTGCATTTCTCGACCTTCATTGTATAGTCGATTGGCAATATCGGTGGTTAAGACATTGGTTTGATGAAGTTGTTGCAGTCTTGCCTCCGTATTACCCAATAGTCCTTGAAGGTGATGTACTTCATCCTTGTACTCCTCCTGGATTTCCATACCACGTTGATGGATACGTCGTGCACCATGTTCCATTAGGGCACCTCGGCGTTCAAGGTCTTGGATGCGTATTGTTGCACCTTCGTCTTCCTGAGATGCTACCATTAGTTCTGCTTGATATTCTGCAACCTCATTTGCGGAACATGACAATCTATGATTGAGTGCACTGACCTCATCAAATACATTTTGGTTGTGTTCCTGAAGATACTCAGTGAATCTGATCTCGATGTCATGAATCAGTTGATCTCTAGATGCAGCGTATGCTTCCATGTGGTTCAACTGATTACGTAGGGATTGACATTGTGCCCGTAGTTCTTCTATCATGGCAATAGGTTCACTAGCCACAGAAGTATCCGTTGATCTCCTCTTAACACGACTATCCCCGGTCCTCTCACCAATTCGGTCGGTCACGGCCCTGGTGGATCTGTCCCTTGGAGTAGTTCGTCCTCGAGATGGTCGATGCCCTTGGCGGACAACATCACTTCGAGCACTGTTTCGAGAAGATCTTGGTGTACTTTGAGTTGATATCCTTCGTCTGTTTGATGTGACTTGCCATCCGGACTGTGTAGTTCGGGTAGAGTGGGATACCACTGTCTGCCGTGTCACCAGGGGAAGATTGATTGACCTCCTCGACCGGCATGGCAGTGTTCTCATTGAAGGTAAACTGCGTGGTGCGCGAATCTCCGCTGCCGCTTTGCATCTTTGCGATGATGAGCTGATTGGTCCTTTGCGTCCTCAATCGATTGCTCAGAAGGCCCGGCTACCAGCACGCAGGTACCACTCTCCCGGCGGGAGAAGTGAGCCCTACGGCTGATAACCTGTGAACAAATGGATCCTTGTTCTGGATGTAGTTACTGATTTGCGATACCTGTTATGCTGGTATTACCGGACACTGATACGGCATGGCAAGCGGAGCTCGGACTTTTCCTCGCGCGTGGACTTGAGCCAGTACGGCGTCCCGATGCACAATGGAGTATGTACATCACAAGTGTCCTAGCGTTTAGTTCCCTTTGACATATCATATATATCATATATATCATATATATCATATATATATCATATATATCATATATATATATGTATAGATATGTATAGATATGTATGGATATATTGATTCAGATACAGAGAAAGAGAGGTACGCATCTAAGTCTTTTAGATGCATTATTATCATTATTGTATCTTATCATATATTATGTTGGATCTGTGGTGCCAGATACATACTTGTTTAGATTTGGCAATCTGGAAACCAACCAAACTTGATGTTTGAGTCATACTGGAATATGCGGCAGCAATGACTGCGGGAGATGACATTCTACAGCTGCCTTCATGCCCCAATGAACGGTCTCATTCAGCAAAGTGACCTCATGCACGCAAGCATGGCAACGTGACAAAATCAGACTGTGCATCTCATGTTGAGTAAAGGCGTCGAAAGGAAACACATCAAAATAAGGCAGTTCATCAAAACTATATGCGATGTGTGTGAAAATCGGGCACCCCGAAAGAACATCTTTTGTCATCTTTCCCCCCGTTCAATTTGCTATGATTTGGTTCGTAAATCCACCATTTCTGGCCAAACTCATATCATTCATGGGTCATTCCCTAATCCATATTTTTCAAAATTAAATCCCCATCGTATGTGTTTGTACATGTGTATACATATATATAGATATAGATATAGATATAGATATAGATATAGATTATAGATGTAGATATAGATCTAGATATAGATATCCATGTATATTTAATGTGTATATTATATATATATATATATCTATCTGTATATATATTTATATCTATCTGTATATATATTTATATCATAGAAATACATATTATGACCAATGTTTTTGGGAAGTCTCAGGTTCGGCGTTGCGCCGAGCTGCCGCAGGGCGCCAAAACTTGAGAAACCCCAGTGGTGTCCAGCGTCCCGATGGTGATTTGAGATGGAGGCTGGTCATGATCTGTAGCCTCGGCAAGCAATTAAAATAAGAGGTTTCACATGCTTCACCCTGAAGAAAGCTGGGATTTAAGATCACCTACTTGGGATGTCAGCATCTATTAGTACAAAACAATACAAAACATAAATATATTAAATATATATGAGTATTGAAAAATGGGAATGGGAATATTCAGCAATCTTAAGCAACAACAATCAGGATTGAACCCTCCCGGGAATGGTATCGATGAAACTAGCTCCAGAGTCGCAATACTCTGCAAGGCCTTTGCAAACTGTGCTTGAGCTTTTGTGTTTAATCCGCGATGCTTGCTCGACATGGCTAAGCCGCTAAGCTTCCGACGATGTGGGAAGGTTGCAGCTGAATTGCTGGGACGTCCAGCGAGCATAGTTCAAGTATTGCAAGCACAAATATTTCGTAGCTCCACCCTTGGCTCCGTTCAAGGCCAAGGTGGCATATCCTGCAGCCAGTGGAAATGGCAAGGCATCTGGATCCGCCATGGCATGTGCCACATGCGCTGGCTGGGGATAGCTTTTATGGTATGATCTGGCTGGCTGTTGGAGCCTCGAAATGTGCCAAGTTAGACATCCAACATTCGTGTCTTTGAGATAGTTGCTGTCCAACACTTAGACAAGCAGTTCATCTTATCCCTCAAGTGAGTTTCAACTGGGCAACAAGATTGCAAGAAGAATATTGGATTCTGCAAGTATCGCTGTTGGTATTGCAGGCTTTCGGCAGTCTCTATCTGCTTGGGCTACAAAAGCTGGTTGGAGGAGGAAAGCTGGCTGTCTTTAGAGGCCCCTGCATCAAAGTCGCTTTCAAAGTCACTTCAACAAAGACATCGAAAGGGAAAAAAAATGACTTTGCAGTCGACATTTTGGGAGGCTCTTCAAATGGAGGGCCCCAAAATCATCAAAACATATGTCCATGTCATGCTTAATTGGGAACCAATGGTTTTGGGGTACTGCAGGTACCCCAAATTTTGAGCACTCACTGAGTATTGATGTACGATCGTCTCTGGAAGCTGCTGTAGCAGTATCCATACCTCAGCGACCTGCAAACTTGCAAAGCACGTCTTCCCCCACATGTTTTGGTCATCAGTGAAGCGATTCCACAAACTCTGGGTCTCACTATCACGTAGGAGATCCCCTGCCCAATTTTGAGCGCATCAAATGGTTTATGACTTTGCATAATTCCTTCCACCATTGAGCAGGAGATTGGGGAAACAGCCCGGCCGAACTCGGGCCCCATTGATATCAATTTAGATATCCATTGATCATCTACTCTTCCAGTTCTTTCAGGGCAGTCTTGAGGTTCTGGATCTCTTCTTCGCGATGAGCTTTCTGCTTGGCACCATCGGATTCCGAGGAAAGGCATTGCTTGGAAAGCTCCTTGAAGTACTCCTCCGCGGAGGTCAACCTCGGACTCAAGCACCACCATGGTCGGTCTAGCGAGGCTATCTTGTGTGGGCCGGGGCCTAGAACCTCCGCCTCAATCACAAGCCCCATATTGCAACGGATAATTTAGAGGAAACCCTAGATTTGCATCACAATTACCATGGTTTCAATGGCTGATTTCAAAATGTTCTAAATCTTCATCCTGGTTTTGGTTGTAGATCGTCCAAACAAACATCCAGTTGGTCCAAAACAACCCAGGAACTCGGTCTTTGATGATGCCAAGTCCGCCTTCTTCTGAGCCAAGGCTTTACTCGCTTCCGTCTTCTCCTCTGTGAAATGCTGCGCATCGCTCTGCTTGCTGGCCTGGCAATAAAAGCTGTGCCCGGCTATAAGTGTGTTATCTTTGTTGGTTTCCAATCCCTGACAAATCTATATATATATTTTTTTATATACACACACATCTCTAGTATACAGATGGAGATAGATATAGATATGGTGTGTATGTATATGTATATACATATATACACAGTGTATGTATGTATGTATGTATGCATGCATGCATGCATGCATGCATGTATGTATGTATGTATGTATGTATGTATATATGTATATATGTATGTAGTATTAGTATACTCATATAGACAAAAAGCCTAGTTATATTTGCGGCAACACGCTGGCCATGAAACGTGGTAATGAGTCATGAAAGCTGTGAATTGTTGTCATGTTGGGATGAACAACCAGCCACTCGTGCTGGGTCAAAATGTAGCTTGTGGGAAGCAAAAATGAAGTGGTCTCCAGAAAGTGTACCATCTCATGTTTGTGATTCCCACCAAATCCATCAATCATCCCACCAAATCCATTGTTGATGAACTACTAAAGAGCGCCAATGAAATCTCAGATTACTCTCTGGTAATTTAACATAGCTATGGAAAATCACTATGATTAATGGGAAAATCCACTATAAATGGTCATTTTCAATAGCTATGTTAAATTACCAGAGGGTATATAGTGTCCAACTGATAAACTGATCGTTCTGACGCTTCCGTCTGTGTTATCGCTCCGCCAAGGATGGAAAACGTGGGGGAGAAGCTGAGCCAATTTGGTCTTTTGGTCATGACGGAGTGGATCGGCTGTTCACATTAAATACCACACACACGAATCTGACTGGACCCGTGTGGCCCAATCCAACGGAAAATCTGGGCTCAAAAGCCTGGGAAAACAGGGGGAAAGCGGACAGCCTTCCGAAATTTTCCATCCCCCAGTCAAAAACCGAAGTGGACGGAAGGGAAGAAGCCGAAAGGCGCGGGCCACTGAGGCCTGGAGATGTTTAATAAATCACTCTGATACTTCATCATCCCATGTCCGGCGCGCCTTGTCCATGTTGGAGTCCGTTTTGAAGGCCTTGAACTCCTTCAGGGCCGCTCCAGATTTCCCAATATCTCCAATGATTGCAAAGCTGGGAAAGATTGACCAGCTGCAAACATGGGGATATCCCATCATCAAAATCATGCTTAAGATATGTTACTATGTTCATGTGTGGTGAAAAACTTCCAAAATATCCACAAAGAGTTGTTTGCCAAAAATATTTTTGGTGCAAAACTCCCATAATATCCCAATGATACCCCATATCCAAAACAAAAAGCAAGAAGAACAACCGTATTCATTACAAAATCGTTCTATGAAATCTCCATTTGAAAGGTTAAATCGAAAAAAAACTGGCAATCCCTTTTAACAAAATAAAACAACAACATTTATAGAATTCATTTCATGGTAAATTCTAGATGTTTAGTGGTTAAAATCCATTAAATCCCCATTAAATCCCTTTGAATTCCCATTAATTCCTCATTCAAAAAAATCCCCATCCAATCCTATTCATATCAATATCAATTCATTGCTTTTGCCGGAGAAATCCCTCAAAAAAAACAACTATCTCATAATAAAATCCAGATCTTTCATGCTTAAATCCCCATCAAATCCCATTAAAATCCCATCAAATCCTTCTAAAATCCACGTTTTTCCATTGTTTTCCATATTTTTCCATGGTTTTTGCCTCGAAATCCCCCCAAAAAATGCCGCCCTTCTCCTTGTCCGCCGCCAGCTCCTGCGCCTTGGTCTCCGCCTCGAGCCGCGAGAAGTCGCCCAGGACTGTCTCCAGGAGCGTCACCACGCCTGGTTGGGCAATAGGTACTACATAATACAAAATATATGAATTATACTATGTATTATGTAGTATCTATTGATATTTGATGAATAGATATCCAATGAAAATTATACTATGAAAATTATACTATGTATATTAATGATGGATGTTTGATGTTTGATGTTTGATCTATCTGTGTTGATGTGTTGACAAAGTGATCTCTTCAGTGACAATTTCTCCAAGGCTTCGAGCACTGTGGGGGTTAGGGGTGGTGCTCCGTACTTTTCTGGTTTGGGGTGGTCCGGGGCAGACGCGAAAAAGCGAAAAGTCGAAAAGTAGCTGTTGATTCTTAGGGGCGGAGCCCGAAAACCCGAAAAGTAGAAAAGCCGAAAAGTCGAAAAGTAGCTACTTTTCTCGAAAAGTCGAAAAGTAACTACTTTTCTCGAAAAGTAGCTACTTTTCTCGAAAAGTAGCCACTTGTCTCGAAAAGTCAAAAACATGAAAATGAGATCCATGGGTATTCTTTGGATTAACTGCAGCTGTTGCACTGTGATTTTGAAGGTTGTTCCCTCCGACGGGGTGTTCACGCGCAGACACACTGCTGAATGTGCATTTTGTACTGTTTTTTACAGTGTTTTCTGCTTCTCTACAATGCTTCCTTGGGGGGGGCGGGGGGGGGCAGGAACAACTGATGTAACTGATGGTACAGGGGGGGGATGCTAACGTTCCATGTAACTTGCTCATGTTGTTGATGCTTCGCCACGCTGGGGTGGGGGGGATGTTAACGTTCCATGTAACTTGCTCATGTTGTTGATGCTTCGCCACGCTGGGGTGGGGGGATGGTAACGTTCCATGTAACTTGCTCATGTTGTTGATGCTTCGCCACGCTGGGGTGGGGGGGATGTTAACGTTCCATGTAACTTGCTCATGTTGTTGATGTTTCGCCACGCTGGGGTGGGGGGGATGTTAACGTTCCATGTAACTAGCCAAACTTCTGACTCAGCAAAGATGACAAACCAAGTCGGCCGCGCGTGAACAGGCCGTCCGACCGAGGTTGTTGTATCATGTTGTATCTTGTTTTTTTGTTGGGACGCAGTTGTGCCACATGTTTAGCGTCTGTTTTATTTGTGGGAGGGTTTGTTTATGGTATCCAAGCGCGTTGGAGAGTGAATGAGTCTGTCAACAGTTACCCCCACAATTTGGTACTGTCCTTGGTTCAAGTGGCGTTTAATTTTTCAAACCTAATACTTCTTTCTATGTTGTGATGCTAGCGTACTCGAATCCATGCAATCAGGTTTGAAATTATGAGAGGACATGATTTGCATGCATGATTGGATGTATCTTTTTAGCTTGCGGCTTTCAAACAATTGGAAAGGAATATGGCTAGGAACGACATGGTCCACGTTGCAGTCCCCAAGGGGAGGAAGAAGGTTGGCATCGCAGTCGGGCACTAAAACAGTCAAATTATAACTGTGAATGGAATTGCGAATTTCAAGGACGAGATGGGACAAAAGTGGACTAAATCAAAGAAGAAAATGTAGAAGTAAACACACAGAGGTTCAACCAGAACAGTCTGTCTGTCTTTGGGTGTCGAGAGAGAGAGATATATTATATATATATGTATATGGTTCCGTTTTGGAGGGCAAGATTTTTTTGGAGCATGCAGCATATTCACAAATGGGACCTTCCTTTTTCGGTTAGTCTTCTTGGCAAGCATTTTGCAAGTGCAAGGCAGAGTACAGGGCGTCTGCAAACAACAAAAACCGTTCAGAACGTTTGAACTGTTTTCGCCTAATTCTGAGAAAATTGTAAATCTTAAATTTGCTGGGAACAAGTTTCATCAACTCAGGGATTTTATTGTGAATGTAATGTGTCACATTGGGTCTAGAATTGCATGTAAACACAAAAACTTCAGTACTTGCGTACTGTACAGTGGGGAAACTAAAAATAGGAAAACAATTTGCTGACATGTGTTTGAGCTTTTTTGTAGGTAGTAGCTTTCCTACATTGTGTCAAAGTAGGTGGGCGTACGGCATATGCAGTGTGCAGTTTTGTCTAAAATTGTTTAATCTATATCGCTCGGATGTTGATGCGCCGTTTTCTTGCGCCACATGTGTGGCGACAATCCTAGATGGGGAAAGTCAATGTCATAGAGCGTTCCATATAGATGAATTGTATCGATGGTTTTTGGCCTGTCTTTACAACGCTGCACATGTTTGTTTTGTTTGGCAATCTTCTGGATGTGAAAGATAGAACTTCGTTTTTCGTTTTTAAGCTGGGTGGAAGAATTGAACATGTTCGAGTGACAATAGTTTTGGGGTAGACACGAAAAGGTGATATGTTGTCAATGTGTGGTTCCAGCAAAATATCTGTGGGCTTAAGCGAGCAGATTGTGAGAATACGCAAAACGAAATTATGTTGGTTCACAGCGTGTGTTCCAGTCTTGGAAGAAAACAATTTGAACATAGGGAGGGCAGTCTGGATGGTAATCATTGGGTTTATTCTAAGCAGGGACCCGTGAGCAAAATATAGTTAGATCATTCCGGGTATTCCAGAAAAACTAAGGGGTACAAAAGGCACTGGCAAGTAGTACGGCGCCGCAGGGCGCCAAGTGCAAACACTTCCCACCATATAGATGTGGTTTCCCAAAAAATGTGGACAATAGATTGAATACATAGACTTCTTGGATTACTGTAGTCTGTGGGTGGTTTCTTCGACGTGGGACTTCCAAGATCAAAGGATGTTGTGCTTTCCATTGTTCCGGTTTATCTCTGTAGAGCATCGGCTAAGCAAGTATGAAAATCACTTTGTGGCGTTCTTCGGTCGCACTGCTTCAAAAACAATACGGAACAAGTAGGTCTTTCCAACTTGTTTCTCCAATGCGAAAACTGGCGAGCAGCTGCACTTGACTTTTGGTTCCTTGAACTGACGTTGCTGTCTAGGCCGAGTTTGCAGGACGTGTGGGTTCACATATCCTTTTGTGTACCATTTGGTATCACCGCAGGACCTGTCCCTGCTTTGGCAGGGGCATACACGGCATATGATCCGGACTTCTTGATCCAAATTATTCTATTAATCCGAACTTGACATCACCTATTTCAAGCATACCACGCAGCTAGTCTTTGACATGAAGGTGATCCAACCATTTCGACAATCCGAGGCGTTCCAACGCATCCGACAGTTGGAACATACCGCAACCTTTGAAAGCAGCTGCATACTGAAGTCCTTGCAACCTTCAAAACCGATCCCCGACCATGACAACACGTTGAACTGTCCAAACTATCTTGACCTCCCCAACTACCCGGAACACTCCAATTGGTCAACGCACCATTCCAGCCATTCAACGGACTGATTGGTCATTACATTAGAACTAGAATAATCAAAGGAAGTTCAGAAGTGAAACTTCAGACAATATGGACAAATGGAAAAGCCAAGATGGGAAGAGCTACAGAAGAAAGAAGTGAGATAGGAGAAAGTCAGAGGAGAGAAGGTCAGACTACAACTACAACTACGGCCAAGCTACAACTACTGTACAACTACAACAACCAAACTACAACTAGAACAACAACTCAACCACAACCACAACTACTACCAAACTACAACTACAACTACTGCCAAAGTAAATGTGCAATCACGACCAAACATAAACAACAACAACAACAACAACAACAACAAAACCACAACAACAGCAACAACGACAACAGCAGCAGCAGCAGCAACAGTAACAACAGTAACAACAGTAACAACAGTAACATCGACAACAACAACAACAACCACGACGACGACGACTCCTGCTACTACTACTGCTACTACTACTCATACTACTACTACTACTACTACTACTACTACTACTACTACTACTACT